GCTCGGCCCCCCTCCCTCCCGGCCGCCCTGCACAGCGCCGCTCCCGGCCCTGGGCCCTGGTGCACGAGCCCACAGGCCCAGCGCGGCCCGCTGGGCTCACCCCACTCCCCTGCCTGCCTGCACGCTGTCCGAGGGGGGCGGGCGTGGGGCTGGCCGGACACGTGGGCGTAACGCGCAGGACTGGAGAGCCCGTTAAGTGGGGCCCTGAGATGACCAGAGAGGAGGCGGCGGCCCTCTGCCGCTATCCCCGCTGCCCCGACCCGAGCGTTTCTCAGAACTGATGATAAACACATGCAGCTTAGCTCCCGCTAACGCCAAACAACACAAGACTTGCAGACGTCACCAGCACCTACTTGCTGGAAAATGCAGAGGTTAGGAAACGTTCTAGAAATGTCCAGCTTGATAAGCTCCAGGCTGGCTTCTCTGTCCGCCGCTGGGAAGCCGGCATCTGCGGAGACAGCATGGGGCAAGCTCGGGGCCACTGTCGGGCTCTGGGGCTTGGTAAGAGCACAGCGGGACAGGAGGCCTCGGGACAGGAGCCCACTGGCCACAGCGTGAGCCCCAGGGCCGCGCCCCGCGTTCACAGGCCTGAGCAGTGCCGGTCCGTGGGCAGAGCCCGGGGCGAGGCCATCGCCAGCGGTTTCCTGGAGACGGGAGCAGGCGCTCTGGCTGGCCCCGGCTCGGGCGGCCAGGCCCAGGCAAGGACCCACCGCCGGCCGGCACACTGGCAGGGCGCACGCGCGGGGGGCCGTGGGGGGGAACCGCTGGGCACCCTGCTCCTTCTGACCAGCGTTCGTGAAGAACTCAGCCACGGTCTCAACGCCACGGACAGGCGTCCGGAACGCCAGTGCCTCGCGCCCGCTGCTGGCACCCGGGGAGCCCCCGCGCCCGCGGCCTGGGCGCTCCGGGCCGTGCTCTGCACCCGCCAGCCCGCCCTGCGCTTGTTCCCCAAAGCCTCCTTCCCACGTCCCGCGTCGGCCCTCCGGGGCGAGTTGGCCCACGGATCCCGCCACGCTACCTTCGCTGTCCGAGGCCTCCGGGCCGCCCACGCGCAGGGACCGCCACCTCTCCTTGGCGCGGGCCAGGCAGATGTCGAAGAGCTCTGCAAGGGACGCAGCTGTGAGGGCTGTGCTCGAGGAGCGGCCGGGCCCGGGCCTTGTCCTGTCCAGCGGCCAGCGGCCAGCGGCCCCGGC